TCCTTATTTTCTGAAGTAATTCATACTCTCATGCAAGGCTTAAAGGACCATAAAAAGCACAAAAACAAACCCTAACTAGATCTAACAAAACGAATCATCAAGTTAAGAGCTTTATACCTCAAATAGCTTTCCAACTTGATGATGATTTTGGATCAATAAGCTCTAGCCACACTAATATCCAAGAGTTCCTCTTCCTACAAAATCAACAAAAACACCCTCATAGTTCACTTCTAAGGTCAAAACACTCAAAGGGCAATTAGGGTTTCGTTCTTAGGGTTTGGAGAGGTGGAGGCTGGTCATAAGAGAGAGTCTAGAAACAACTTAAGGTGTTTATATAGGGCACAAACCCTAAAAATTAGGGTTTTCCCCTGATGAGCGCACGCCCAACATACTCCCACGTACGCCCCGCGACCAAACCAACGAGCCAGTACGCCCATCGTACTCGGCTAGGGACCAATTTTGCAAGGATTTTAAATGAAGGGCTTAAAAGGAATATACCTAAAATTGCAAATGTTACAATTCTCACTCACTTGAATCAGACTTCGACCTCGAAGTCTGCTACCGCAAATAACTCAGGGCAATGCTCCCTCATCTCATCCTCATGCTCCTATGTCCATTCAGACCCCTTTCGGTGTTGCCACTGCACCTTCACTAACTCCACAAACTTGTTCCTCAAGGTTTACGTCTTCTTGTAAAGGATGGAAATCGGTCTCTCAATATAATTCAGGCGATCATCTACCTGAATATCCCCCAATGGAACCACCGCGGAATCATCAACCAAACATTTCCGTAGCTGAGAGATGTGAAACATGCTATGGATCTGACTAAGCTCCTCGGGGAGTTCCAAGCGATAAACAAACTGGCCCACCCAGGACAAAACCCTAAAAGGACTGATGTATCTGGGGCCCAACTCGCCCCTCTTCCTGAATCAGACGACTCATTTCCAAGGTGACACCTTCAGGAGAACCATATCCCCAACCTGGAACTTTAGATTTGATCGACGCTTGTCGGCATAGCTCTTCTGTCGAATCTGTGCTATCTGAAGCCTACCCTAAACCTGCTGAATCAACTCGATAGTCTTTAGTAGGGATGAGATTTAGAACCAGAAACCAGAACCGAAACCGGAATCCGACCAAAACCGTTAGAACCAGAATATGTAGAACTAGTCCGGGTCCCGGGTTTAAAGAATGGCTTTATCCGAGTTCCGGATAATCCGGGATTTGGGTCATTCGGGTACGGGTAGACCGGGTTTAAGAACCGGAACCGTGTTAGGAACCGGAACCGATTTTAGGCGTCGGAACCCGTTTCTACGAAAATTTTAAAACATGCATATCTCATTCGTTTGAAGTCGGATTGACATGATGATTTTTTCCAAAGTGTAGTTTATATTTTGTACATGATTTTAGACTATAATTTTGTCATTTTTTAGTTAATATTCATTGAATTACAGTCCCTCAAAGTCAGAATATCAAAGCTGGACATTTTATGTTTGTCAGATTTTTTTTTGTATTATGTAAATGTTTTAAAACATGAACATCTAATTCGTTTGAAGTCGGAATATCATGTGCTTTTTTCCCAAAGTGCAGTCTAGAGTTTGTACATGATTTTAGACTATAATTTTGTCATTTTTCGTTTCATATTCATTGACTTACAGTACCCCAAAGTCGGGATATCAAAGCTGTGAATTTTCTGTTTTTCAGCTTTATTTTTATATTTTGTGAAATTTTAAAAATGCATATCTAATTCGTTTGAAGTCAGATTATCATGAGGTTTTTTGCAACGTGTAGTTTATAGTTTGTACATGATTTTAAACTAAATTTTTTTCATTTTTTGTTTCATATTCATTGACTTACAGTACCCCAAAGTCGGGATATCAAAGCTATGTATTTTCTGTTTTTCAGCTTTATTTTTATATTTTGTAAAATTTTAAAATGCATATCTAATTCGTTTGAAGTCGGATTATAATGAGTTTTTTTTTTTGCAACGTGTAGTTTATAGATCGTATATGATTTTAGACTATAATTTTGTCATTTTTTGTTTCATATTCATTGACTTATAGTCCCCCGAAGTTGGGATATCAAAGTTGAAAATTTTCAAAGTTCAACCACTAAGTAATTACCGAAAAATTCTAGATTTCCCGGGTTTTCCGGTTCTAGACCCACTTTACCCGGTTCCACCCGAACCACTTTAATGTGTCTGGGTTTTCCGGTTCTAGACCCACTTTACCCGGTACCTTATCCAGAATCGGTTCCTATATACCGGTCCGGTTTCCGGTCCTACAAAATCCCGTTAACCGGTTCCTGAGTTTTCCGGGTCCGGGTTTGGACCCACTCACATCCCTAGTCTTGAGTACTACTTCAGTACTCCACATGACTCGTTAACCGACCTCACCCAAACATATCGGGGTCCTACACTTCCTCCCATAGAGCATCTCAAATGGAGGTCGAGCAATGTTGACGTGATAACTGTTGTTATACGAAAAACTCCGCCAAAGGGAGATACGTATCCCAACTCCTACCAAAATCCAATACACATGTCCGAAGCATATCCTCCATGGTCTGGATAGTCCGCTCACTCTGGCCATCAGTCTGCAGGTAGAAAGTCGTGCTGAAATGCAATCGAGTACCCAACTCCTCGTGAAACCTCTTCCAAAACCTGGAAGTAAACCGGACATCCCTGTCTGAAACCACTGAAACCGGCACCCCATGTCGTGCCATATTACATATGACTTTATGTAATGTATGAAAGACCAGGATTTGACCATTGACAATTGTACGAAAGACCATGATGTAGCCCCTAGCAATGGAGTGTGGGTCGGGCTCATTATGTATGGTTGGGATGGGCCCGTTATGTATAGTTGGTTTGGGTCCATTATATATGGTATATGTATATGGATAAGAGGATTTTGTTCGATGATGGGGCCAAGGACTTAATTTATGTGGATGCATTGTATGTATAGTAAAATATATGGTATATTGGGGAACTCACTGAGCTTTATACTTATAGGTGTGGATTAAATGTTTTGCAGGTTGTTCGTGAGAAGAGCTTGGTGGGAATGTACACACGCATCAAAGATATTCGTTTCCTCAGTTTTCTAATTCAACTATGATAATGTATGGTTTCAACCAAACAAATGTTACTCAAAGGTTTTTGAGATAAAGGTTTTAATTGGTTAATCTATGTTATAAATCAAAAATTATATCTATGTTCCAAAAGCCCTAGAAGGGACTTCTAGAATTGTCCTCTCCTACGGAGATTCTAAAACGGTTCATTGTTCAACTTTTGAACAATTGCTCTCTAACCCTTAGACTCATCAATTAATTTTAATTAATCCAGAACAATTAATTAAATTAACTTTGATAAATTCTTAATTAATTACTTCCATTTCTAATTAATATATTAATCCAATAATATATTAATAAATTAATTATCTCTCTCTTATTATCAATCCAATCCATTTCCTGGTTATGAAGACAACCCAAAAATGATAATTATTTATCAACCAATTATACCAATTTAGTTAAGACACTAGACGCCCTAATCTAACAATCAGTTCTTGCTTATTACTCTTTAAAACAAAAAAAAGATTCTTGTTTATGAGTATTAACAAAATGAGAGTCTCTTTAGACTTCTACATGAGGAGCTGGCAGTGATAGGTGGTGGTGTCGGAAGTGTTGGAGGTGCAAGGTGGTAGTGGGTAATATGTGGAAAATCTGCATTTGGGGGAAATAGAAGAGGAGGAATGGATATATATTTTTTTCATTTCTATTCTTTTTAATTTAAATCTGATAAAGAAATAAAAGGAAATGAAAAAAAGAAATTATTAAGAGTAAAATAGTCATTTCATGTCAATATGGACTAAGCGTGCAAGAAAAAACAAACTCAGGGATGGTATGGGTTAATTTTAAAAAATAAAACTAAACGTGCATCTTGACACATAAACGGGGGATGAATGGTGTAATTTATATATATATATATATATATATATATATATATAATATATATATATATATATATATATATATATATATATAAACTACACGAATGGTCCCTATGGTTTGGGGTAATTTGCATGTTTGGCCCCTAACTTAGTTTTTAAACTCGAAAAGTCCCTACAATATGTTTTTGTTGCGAGCTTTCTCCCTATCTTACCTAAAAAGACTATTTTGCCCTTGATTTTTAAATTTATTTAAATAAGGTGGGTAGGTAAGGTAAAGTAATGTGAGGTGGAAGTGGGGTTTGGGGGTGTGTTTATTCAAATAAATTAATTAATTAAGAGCAAAATAGTCATTTTAGGTAAGACATGGACCTAGCGCGCAACAAAAACAAACAGTAGGGACTTTCCGAGTTAAAAAAATTAGTTAGGGACCAAACGTGCAAATTATCCCAAACCATAGAGACCATTCGTGTAATTTACTCTATCCCTCTCTCTCTCCCTCTCTCTCTCTCTCTCTCTTTCTATATATATATATATATATATATATATATATATATATATATATATATATATATATATATATAGAGAGAGAGAGAGAGAGAGAGAGAGATAGAGAGGTAGGTTCAGGTATTCTAAGAATTTATTATGTGGATGTAGGAATCAATATGGACCAATTATTTCACAAACCTAAATAAGGGTAAATATGTAATCTTACCTATTATTTAATTTTGGTAACTAAATAAGTATTTAATTAATCCATAATCTTCTTCAACCATGCCCTAGCATTGAGCGTACCCTTCAATCTTTGGCAAAAGAAACCATCGGCCATGTTCCACCAGCCCCCACCGTCATCTGTGCCTGAACAACCCACACCTCACCGTCGCTCTATCTCTTTCTCTATCTTTCTCTCTTTCTCTCTCTCTATCTCTTTCTCTTTTTGATGCTGAAAGTCGGTGATGGAGAGCTTGGGTGAGGGCTCCTGCTTTCTCCGGATAAATAGGTATGTACGCTTGAAATTCCCCCTTCTGTTCAGCAATTATACACAGTGAGGAGTCTGCCGGAAATGGTAACAATCGGTGAAGGAAGCGGTTCCTCAAATTCAAACGCCTCATCGTCTGCTTCCTCTCATCAAGCCCCCAAGATCTTATTATCCAAGCCAGCTCTAGTCACTGCCGCCAAGTACAACCGCGGACCTGGTGGCGGTGGAGGCGACGGTGGTCCCGATGACGCTTCATCGTCACTCCACTCCTGCCTTCCCTCCGTTGGCTTTCTAAATCTGTTATCCAACTCCTGGGATTTCCACACTGATCGCTTCCTTCCGGTAAGTTGCTAGCCTTTTGTCAACTTAACCCATCTGTATGTCGTATATTGAACTCGTTTTGGTTGCAGTTTTTGACGGACAATACCGATTTTACGGTGATCGGAGTGATTGGTCCGCCGGGGGTTGGCAAGTCTACTATCGTGATTGAGATTTATGGCTTTGATGCAACTTCTCCTAGTAGCCTAGCATTCATTCCTTTCTTCATCTGTATATACACTTGCATTTGCGACTTCAATTAATATTGATTCATCTTCTTCTGTTATCATTGGGGGTAGGGATGTTGCCTCCTTGTTAGATAGAATCCATGGAAAACAAGGCCATGGCTAAGCATTGTACAGTTGGTATTGAACCTAGAATCACTTTTGAAAGGATCATACTTCTTGATACATAGGTTTGCACATTTAAACTCCCAAACCTTTCTTTACCTTATGCTAAGTTGTGCTGTATGGAATGCAACTTGTTTATAGTCCATCGATTTTGGCTGAAATTATTAGACCTGATGGTTGCCCCAACCTAATCATGTTAGGAACTCCATTGTATATTTTTGACTCTTTCTTGACCTAATTAGGTCTGGTTCCCTCAAGCACAAGAGATTTCCTTTGTATTTACTATTTATGCATTTTTTACTTGGGTATTTTTCCAACAGAATGCATATGGTAATTGAATATTGAATTCCAATTCTACCGGAATGGAATCATTAATTCCAATTCTGTTGGAATGGAATATGGATATTTTCTCATTGATTTATGCATGTTCTACACTTCTTGGTTATTGGTTTTTGTGCAATTCATAAGTCCGTATATTTTTTCAAAGGAATTTAGTTTTTTATTTTTCATTTGCTAATGCATTATTGGATTCTAAACTACAATTGGATTTGTTTTCACAGAAGTTGATGCTTGAAGAACGGACCACAAAATTGAAAGTGATTCTTAGCAACATTATTCTTTTAGAATGTATTACGTCTTTGTTAGATTTTGATGTTTTTTTTCCGATTTGAAAGTTTTTTTTTAGTTTTATTCTTTAACAATAAATGTAATTCTTAGCAATTGTTACCAGTATTCTATAAGAATTAATGTAATTTTTGTTTTTATTCTTCAATTGATGGTTCAAGAATTTGTTATTCTACAAAAAGTTTTTAAAGTCATGATCAAGAAATAGGTTCAAGAATTTTTTTATTATTTTATAGTTCAAGAATATTTTTATTTTTGAATATACTCATAAACATATTCTGTCAGAATGTCCGAATTAAAAGAATTATAATTCGTAAAATCGGATTTTTAAAATTAATAGAATCTATGATCCCTTAAAATATGCAATTCTCCATTATTAAATCTATATTAATTGATTAAAATACCCTTGTATTTCAATTGATGTATTTTTCAATTATATTTAATTCAATAATATGTATTAATCAATTTCTTAAAATAAGTAAAATGATTGGCCCACAATCATTCCTACATCCACACAATAATTAGTTAGAATACAATAACCTAAGCTTATATATATATATATATATATATATATATATATATATATATACACACAAATTCTTTTGAGAACCAAACGATCTGTGAGAACTTGAGAACTCTTAACCCATACATCATTTTTCAACACCAAAATCACAACTATTAATGAAATGCAGGTTCTAAGCCATATCTAGGCTCAAAAAAGATTTGATTTTTTTTAATGTTCATATATATGCACTGCTGATGCATGCATGCATATCTGCGTTCGCAATCCATATGACTGCTGATGCATGCATGCATATCTGCGTCCACAGTCCATATGACTGTTGATTCATATGCGTCCGCAATCCATATGATTGTTGATGTGTAGTTTTCAACTATTGATGCCTAGTTCGTAAGTTCTCACGTTTTTCTAGTTCTCACAATAACTCAGTCATATATATATATATATATATATATATATATATATATATATATATATATATATATATATATATATATATATATATATATATAGAGAGAGAGAGAGAGAGAGAGAGAGAGAGTTAGGTTCAAATGTTTCTAACAACTATTGTGTGCCTCTTAGGACCAATCAAAATTCAGGAAATATTAAATAATTAATAAATTGTTTTGGGGGTATAATAGTAATATTTACTTATTTAATTTTAGTAATAATTGAAAACATTTAATACCCCTTTTAAATAAGGGAAATCAATTTAAAACCCTACCAATCACCCCTCTGTTCATTCCATCGACATACCTCCGCCTCTTTTCATCTCCTTAAACTCTCTCACCATTTTGTTCCTCCTGATCACCAGAAAAGAGCCCAACATCAACCGAAGTTGTTGCCATCTCCAACCCAACCTCTATTCTTCCTTCTATTTTTGATGACAAACTGACCCAATCAGTGCCATGGCCAATTGAAGAAACCCCCGATCCTAAGCAGGCCCTGTCGGCACAGTTCACCGAAGAAGAAGGAGCAGTGGCCCTCACCATTTCTCCTCCCTGCCTTCAATTTATCTAACTCCCAAACAACTCCCATTCACTTTTTCCTTGCCTCTCCATCGACCTCAGGTAGTTCTTTTCCTCATCTGATCAAAATTCACTTGAAAAACCACCAAAACAGTCGACACCACCATGGAGGCCGGTGACACAGACTGTTCCAACGAGATGGTCCTGGTGTTAGTTGTTGATCTTAAGCAGATTTAGACAGTTCCTTAATTAGTTATTTTCATTTTTTAGTGTTTAGAACAGCTCCAAAGACTCCCAGTGCAAGACCCATTCTTTTTACTGTCATTTCTAAAATGCAGAAGACATTTGATTATTGCCCGCTAACTGTTTGTTAAAATGCTTGAATCAAATATTTCATCCATTCATTTGCACATGATGTCTATTGATAAGTATTTATACCCATTTGGAAATTAGAATATGTAGTTTTGTTAATCTGGTCTGGTGTTGGCCTAATGAGATCTTTATATTTCTCTATTTTGACTTTGCTTATCATTAGTTATTCCATAAACATGATGTCTACTGATAAGTATTTATACCAATTTGAAAATTAGCCAATGTAGTTTTTTTAATCTAGTCTTGTGTTGGTCTAATGAGGAGTTTATTTTCTTTATTTTGACTTTGCTTATGATTAGTTATTACATAAACATGATGATTTAATTTGCTTATGAAATCTGATTTGAATGCTAAACACACGGTAATTACTTCCTATTTTTGAATTGCCACTATTCTATACAAGTAAACATGTTCTTATATATATCTTTGAGTTGCAAACATCATACAGACTTCCTCTATACTTCTAATCACAGGTAATCATATTCTTATACTCTTTTTAGCAAAATTTTGATATGTAATTTGGTAATGGTGAATTTTGGCTTTGGTCTTATCAACAGGAAAAAAGAACACAAGATGGAGACTTGAACCATATAAATGAAACAAGATTGGCTTGATGTATTAAAAAAAACATAAGTTTTAGGAAAGAGGGAGTTCAAGAAGCTGATAAATCTGAAGATACATGATGTCTTCGATGAAAATATGAACCTACAAAGTTTGTCTCCAAAGTCAAAGGTAACAAAAACAATCACTCCACATCGATTTTCTTTAGATTTAGTTGTTTTCATTGTATATGTATATTATTGCACTCTAGTATTCAAGAATCTTAATATTCCATAACATACAACTGAAAGTGTTGTTCATACAATTTAGGAACCAAAAGATGTTTGTTGGGTTCAAGAATATATACATTCTATATCATATACACATTCTGTTAGAATTTTACATTGTAATTGTGCTTTTAGTTAATGATTCTTTAAGAATGTTTTATGTTGGGATGATTTTGGTTGTTATTTGTGAATTTTTTTATTAAGGATTCAACTCCATGATATGACACATAATTTTTTTTTTCAGTATCTTAATTACAGCTTCAATTATTTTTGTTGACATATCATCAAACATTTATAATCTTTCCAATAGAAGTATTGAACAATTTCCTAACCATTATTTATGTTTTATTCCAAAAATTTTGATAATCGTAGCGACAAGATATATCCAGTTTGTAGATTATGGGATACAAAAGTCCATACTCTCTCTACTACGATGAAATTCGAGGCATGGAACTTTGATAATTGACCGAAAGACAGATGATTCATTCCTTGAGAATATTATGCAACAAGTATATTATTCTGTTAGAATATTCAACAAAGAATGTTATATTCTGGTAGAATAATCGACAAAAGAATGCTAAGATTTTCGCCAGCGAGTGCAGGTAAGTCTAGGGTTCAAATTTCATTCTTCTCACAACTTAGATCTGTTTACATCACTAATTCATACCATATTGTGTATATACTGATGGGGTTGATTTCATATGCCAACACAGTGAATTAATTTTGTTTGATTTCATATACCAACATAGTAAAGGTTTGATATCATATGCCAACATAGATTTGTGAAAGCTACTCATCTTGTTCTAGAAAATTGTTTAAAAAGGTAATTAATTTGTTTGTGTATTATTTTGGTTCAATTTGTGATTTTAAATTTCAATTTTTATTGTCCCTCGTTATTGTGTATTTGGAATCTAAAATTATATTAGCAGTAAATACGATACTTTTGAATGTATTCTATGTATTCTGTCAGAATAAAATCTATGTGTTCTGCCAAAATATATTCTATGTATTCTCTCATATTCTATGTATTCTAGCAGAATATATAAAGTGATAGTTAATTACAAGTAACATGTTTTTAACCATTATTAGTTTTTGTTGTATTTGTGATAGGAATGGCTGAAAGAATGTGTTGAAGACCTAAAAGGAATAATTTGAGGAGTGAATAAAGTTTGATCATACTCACATTTTAAGAATGTTGTTATTTTTTAAGAATGTTATTCATTTTTTGTTGATATTCTTTTAGAATATGTATAATTATATTAAAATGTATAAGACTCTTAGTCTGTAAGAATATGTATAATTTGTATTTAAGTTCAGATGTATAAGAATATATTAGAATGTTGTTATTTTTCAACCTCGGATTTAAGAATTTTGTTATTCTTCAATAATATTCTAATAGAATAAAATTCTGAAAAAACATCATTCTAACAAAAAAAATATTCTGATAGAATAAAATCGTTATGTTTACAAATTACGTTAGAAGTAAAATTGAATTAATTTAAAAAATTCAGATTTTTAAATTTAGGAGAATTAATTATCCCTAAAAATCCGAAAATTTCCTTTTATAATTGTAGTTAATTGTCCAAAATACCATTTTGCTAAAATTTATGTGATTATATGGTACATGCTATCCCATTGTAATATCATACACTCTCAAATCATGTCCATTGATTAATTCCACCCGTTGGTCCAGATCTGTGCATTCTAACACACAATAGTTAGTAAAAACAAAATAACCTAAGCATATATATATATATATATATATATATATATATATATATATATATATATATATATATATATATATATATATTCATTTTGGCATGATAAAATTGTTGATGACATGTAACCATTTATGATTTCCTCTGTCTTACCTACGGTTTCTTTTTCTCTATCCCACATGCGGTTTCATCTCTTCTTTCCAATCTACAATTTCCTCAATCTCATATGTGATTACCTCTCCTCAAATAAGATTGTACATGTGTTTAGTGAATAAGATTACGCATTAACCACCTGAACAATTTCACTTGTGTAAAATGAAGATTATATATTTCAAACCTTAAATACTCTGGGTTAATGGTCCCGGACCGTGATGAAATAGCAGTCTATAAGCGTAATCGAAGTCCATTAAATATCACATGTGATTTTAATGGTTATTTAATCTAAATTTTTATTTTTTTTGCTAAATTTTAAATAATTATACAATTATTTAAATGTTAACTAGGAGGTAAGCCCCCGGGATACGCCGTGGTACAGGTTTTTTTTACAAACATATAATGTACATATTAATATTTCAAATAATCACATAAAAATTGTACATTAATATTAGTGTACTAGGTATAAAACCCGTGTATTACACGGGTTGATTAAAAAATAGAATATCAAAGTGTAATAATAAGTAATTTTAAAATAAAATTTTGAAATAAGAAATGAAGAAACATATTAATTGCAATTTAATATAATATTTATTGTATTTGATACTTTACATATATAAATATAAGTATTATGTGGCTTTTTAATTTTAAAAGTTGAAAAAAACCATAAATTAACATGTAGATATTATTTATTTAAAAAATTTCACAAAATGACAAGTGTCAAAACTTATTAGAGATTGACATATGACAAAATTATCTTCATTTATTATAGTAGATTGTGAAAAAAGTTAACTACGATAAAGTTATTGATAAACCATATCATCAAAAGATGCAGTGATAGTAAGCAACAACAATCTCTTATCCACAAATGTATTTCTTCAGCTCATTGCAGTAGGATCCTCTATACTTATCATCAAACTCAAAAACTCAAACACATGATGTTGTCACATGAACATATAGGCTTAAAATTTGGAACAATATCTTAAAGAATATAAGAATTTGTATGTACGTACACTAATTGCCCTATTGAGTAGGAGCTCAGAGTAAGTCCAGTAAGATTTTCTGAAAACCAAAAAAGGCAGACGCAATTACACCATTTGTTTTAGTTGCCACCTCTATACCAAGGGTATTTCTATCAATCTTGATCATTGTTGTAGGAGTGTCCATGTCTTCAGCTCTCTCCCAACATGCATGATCCTTTGTTACGTCACCCACCTTCATTTCATTGTTTTACAAACAAAGACTTTGAACACATAGAAAACAAAACAAAACAAAACATAGCACTGGAAATAATCAAGTATGTGTATAAGTATGTACCTGAACATATATAACATTTGATTGTAATAGCTTTGAGTATATGATCGGTAGCCCAACGAATTGCTTATTTTTCATTCCCCAACACGCCTTTCATCAACCCACCAAATTCAAGCACACTCCATGATAACATTGTGGTGGTGAACGTCATAGTACATATCTTACTGGACCTAGCATCATTAGTGGGATAAAGGAAAATGGTCATTTAATATAAACTTAATTGATGCAAAGTGCCAGTCTATTGTCCAAGAGATTGACTTGTTCCTGAAAACACAACATAATAATTGTTATAGTAGTATTTTCAAAATGGAAATCATATCAGTTGTAAAAAAAAAAAAATACATGTGGTTGTAGCATGTCTTGTTGGTTTCCCTATTTGACATTCCATTTGTCAAGAAGAAAAGTCCAATCCTCTGCCTCCTTGCAACTTTTAACAATTGTTTAAGAGGAAATGAAAGCCCATTAAAGTATTTGTATTTCCGAGATATTTGCACTCTCATTCTCTTTGTGGAATCAACTATTCTCTTCACATCTTCCACCATAACCATACCATAATCTGACACTATACTTGTAAGTTAAATTATCCTTGGTTAAATAGTTAAATCAAAAGTGAGTTCAAGAAATCTCCAGGTATCAAATAAATAAATAATTGTAAATGTAATGAA